TTTTGCGACCATGAGGTCCAAGAATACATGTTTTTTGGGGCGCCAAACGGCAATTCTAGCGGAGGACGTCCACCGAAAATCGCGCGAACGGGCTCGTGATATCAGCCAGGGTGGCTCCCCCTTGGGCTCCCAAGTGATGCCCCTGGCAGCGTTTTGTGACCATGAGGCTCTCAAGAGAGACATGTTGGGGAGGCCAAACGGCAATTTTAGCTGAGACGTCCCACCAAAATCGGCGCGAACGGGCTCGTGAGATCAGCCAGGGTGGCTCCCCTTGGGGCTCCCAAATGATGCCCCTGGCAGCGTTTTGCGACCATGAGGCTCTCAAGAGAGACATGTTGGGGAGGCCAAACGGCAATTTTAGCTGAGACGTCCCACCAAAATCGGCGCGAACGGGCTCGTGAGATCAGCCAGGGTGGCTCCCCATTGGGGCTCCCAAATGATGCCCCTGGCAGCGTTTTGCGACCATGAGGCTCTCAAGAGATACATGTTGGGGGCGCCAAACGGCAATTCTAGCTGAGACGTCCCACCAAAATCGGCGCGAACGGGCTCGTGAGAACAGCCAGGGTGGCTCCCCCTTGGGGATCCCAAATGATGCCCCTGGCAGCGTTTTGTGACCATGAGGCTCTCAAGAGAGACATGTTGGGGGCGCCAAACGGCAATTCTAGCTGAGGCGTCCCACCAAAATCGCCGCGAACGGGCTCGTGAGATCAGCCAGGGTGGCTCCCCCTTGGGGTTCCCAAGTGATGCCCCTGGCAGCGTTTTGTGATCATGAGAGAGTGTGAGTGTGAGCTTAACTTATCTTATCTTATCTTGAAATCTCTTCTTACCATATCTTGTGCTATCTCATCTTATCTTGTAGTATATTATCTTGTCTTGTCTTATCTGGTGATTATCATTGGGAGGAGGGAGGCGCGAGCGGGAGGAAGAAGGAGGAGGAGGAGTGGGAGGCGTCAGAGTAATAAGTATTCACTGCGTGGAGCCCCCCATATGTGCATCTACTCGCATGGACCTGTCCGCCGTGAATGTCTAGGCGCACGAGCTTTCGAATATTAACGGGCTTCAGTTGTGACGGTCTGGACATCAATCTAACTGCGAATGAATTGGAGTGTGAATGAGCCTCAGTAGTACGAGCGCGCCTCTGTGCATGAGCCTGGGGCCTCCTGGGGCCTCCTGAAACCTACTGGGGCTTCCTGGGGTCTCCAGGAGCCTCTTGGGACCTCCTGGGACCTCCTAGGAAGGTTTCGTGCCCCAGGAGAGGCGCAATCTATAGCAACATACGCACATAAAACAGTGCGGATTAGAGCCACTGGAGAAGGGCAATATATAGGAACGCGCGTAAAACACCAAGGACTCGTGCCCCAGGAGAGGCCCAACACATAGGAACATGAGTAAAACATGTAGGATTGTGTACACAGGAGAAGGACCATCTATAGAAACAGACGTAGAACATCAAATAATCGTGCTCCAAAAACAACCAAACGGCAAAACCCAAAACGCGCAAAAGGTGAGCGGGCCGCAGTACGAAAGGAAAGGAAGCCGGGACATGGGATTGGAGCCACTCCTGTTGCCTTCTGAGGCCTCCTGCTCATGGGGCCTCTCGGGCCTCCTGTTGCCTTCCGAGGCCTCCTGGCGCTTCCTGTTGCCTCCTGGGGCCTCCTGTGGTTTCCTGAGGCCTTCTGGAGCTTCCTGGGGCCTCCTGGAGCCTCTTGGGACATCCTGTGGCCTCTTGAGTCTTTTTGTGGCCTCCTGCTGCCTCCTGGGACCTCATGTGGTCTCCTGGGGCCTCCTGGAGCCTGTTGGGGCCTCCTGTGGCATCCTGAGAAGAATCTGCGCCCACGAGCCTGGCCACCAAAACAAGCAAACCGATCGAGACATCCTCAAAATCTGGCCCACCTGGGGGGTGACAATGAGCGTCTCGCTCGAGACATCCTCCAAATCTGCTCCGAAAGCGAAGGATGTTGGGCCCAGAAACAAGCAAACCGCCTGAGACCTCCCCACAACATGGCCGCGAACGAGCCCGTGCAAACACCCCTGGCGGCTCCCCTCAGGGGTGCTGAAATGAACGCCTCGCTCGAGACATCCTCCAAATCTGCACCGAAAGCGAAGGATGTTGGGCCCAGAAACAAGCAAACCGCCTGAGACATCCCCACAAAATGGCCGCGAACAAGCCCGTGCAAACACCCCTGGCGGCTCCCCTTAGGGGTGCTGAAATGAGCGCCTCGCTCGAGACATCCTCCAAATCTGCTCCGAAAGCGAAGGA